CCACAGCCTCATCTGTGGACAAGTGGTCGCTGCTTCCATTAAGGCACGCAGGGCTGGGAGCTGCAGCAGCTGGGGGCCGCCGTTCACGGTCTGGCGTACGGCTGCGGTGGCGAAATCCGGCTGGAATTAAGGATCGGAATCTGGAACGTCTGCCCTTCAGGTTTTGCTGACTTGTTTTAATCTCCTGTGGGATCTTCTCTTTTCGATAGCTGATGAGTAGGTTTTTGTTGCGTTTTTTCACGTGGAAGTTTAATGGTAAGCAGGAGCAGTGACTGGAACGTCACTTGATTAGGTTGCCCAGTCAGCCAACGTACGACAGGCTGTTTTGCAAGAATGTGACAGTAAATTGTCCGTGTTTTTCCCCAAAATGCGTACACCTCTGCATATGGAGAGCAGTGCGGTGTTCTCAGGAGCTGCCGTAGGAATACTTCTATGGATAAATTATTTACACGTGATTCTCTTCATATCCATAAAGTCCTGCAAGTAGGGTTAGGGTAGGGTTAATTTTATAACTTTTGCAAGTTTTGCAAAAAAAAAAAACCCAAAACCAACCAAGCCCCCCAGAATTTAAATCAGGAGTGAGGCTCAATGTAATCAGTTGTTTGACAGGCAGTTGTTTGATTTCTTTGTTTTGAAAATGCAAACTAAATTATGAAGGCAATACAATATTATCGTTTTTTCCCCTTCCCCTAGATATTCTGATCACTATGGCAACCACCAGAAATGTGATGAGAGCTGTCAGAGTTTTTGGATTTGGTGGCCCAGAAGTGCTTAAACTCCAGTCAGATGTCTTAGTTCCCAATCCAGAAGAAAATCAGGTATCTATGAGTTCTGTGAACTGAAAGGATGATACTGAATGACAGGTACACTCAGAACAGAATGAAGAATACAAACCAAAACTGTTCATCTTGAATGTGCAGTTTTTGGTCAGCTGTTCATACTACCTGGGACTTAATGTTTAACAAATGTGGACTTTTAACTCTTCTATGGGCTACGTATTCCACAGAAAGGATTTCCTGAAAATGGCTTCAGTTCAACACCGAGTTTTTGCTGACTCTGTTTAAAAATTTAGTTAAAATGTCACGATACTGTGCTGTGAATTTAAGTTCTACGTCTTTTTAATTATTGCCTAAGAAGCATCTTTTCTTTTAGGTGTTAATTAAAGTCCATGCCTGTGGGGTAAATCCTGTTGAGACATATATTCGTTCTGGAAGTTACGCCAGGAAACCAGCGTTACCCTATACTCCTGGCTCCGATGTGGCTGGTGTAGTAGAAAGCGTTGGGGAACGTGTGACTGCGTTCAAGGTATTTATACGTTGGGGTTTAATTCATTGTTGTTAATTGTATCCCCTTTGTGTCATTGCTATGCCACTGCTCCTGTATTTATTGCTTATAATAACGTAGTCTCTTCATGGGGAAAGTCACCTTCACTGACTGGTCAAAGCACGCAGCGAGATGCTACTGGCAGTCCAGTCTGCAGATTGAACTGCAGGGAAGTCTTTAGTGCTGCTGCCCTCCGAGGGTTAAAACGTCTCAGAAGAGGCGGTTCAGTTTGCCTGCTTAAAGCAGCGATGTCAGGTCTGCAAAAGCTGTGGTTCGGAACTATTTTTGTGGCATTGCTGAAGTATTTGAAGTTGGATGCTTCCCGTTTGAGGTAATAATTTCACGCAGAACTGAAAAATCTCCTGTGAATCTTTCTGGGAAATAGAAATAGCTTTTATTTTACTTACTCATAAAGCCCCATAAATTACATATTTGTTGTTAAAACAGTTCTAATATTTATTACTCCAGTCTTGTAATTTTACTTAGATTTTCTTAGGAGGAGAGTCTTGGGACAGGAGAAGGCAGTTATCAGTTTGCTAAAAGATGAAATTTATTTAGTTTTTAAATCTGTTCTTCCTTTCAAGTCACTCGACTGTTGGTCTCAGACAGATATAAAAATTGTAGTTAAAATTGTGTTGGAATTCTCTGGCTTGGAATTTAGGTAGCTACTGTGGGAGAGACAAGAGATTTGGTTATCTGGAGAGAAGAATCGTGTTTATTCATATTTTCTTATCAGTAGTTTGCTGTATCTGCTGAGTGTACTTTTTTTTTTCCCCTTACGGAAATCGTGATGCTCTCTGCTCCAATGAGAGAGAGATGATGAGGCCAGTATGTGCCCCAGAGGGACATCCCAAAAATGCTGAGTAGCCCAGCTCGTTCGTTCGCAGGAGTTAACACCCAACGCCCGCAAACCCAGCGGACACAGTCCGTGTGCTGTGTGCTCACTGGGATCGACGTGCACACAGCAGAACCCCAGTGCTCAGCAGCTGGGGGTGTCAACGGAGACTGACCTTGTTGTGCAGGTGGGCCGTGCAAGGCCGGGTGCTGACCGGGACCCCGCTGCTGGCGTCGCGCTGCGTCGGCAGCCCTGGAGCGCCCGGAGCGCGCTGCGTTTCCTGCGTCACCTGCTGAGTTGCTGGTGGATATTCAGTTACTTTAGGGTGCATTAAGAGTCTGTCTTTCTTCTACGTTTAAACAAAAATAATTGAGAAATGTTTCTTTTGTGTTTGTGAAAGCTTTTGAAGTTCTGCATTTGGAATCTGTGAGTGGAACTCTTTAGTGTTCAGGTTCGTTAAGGTTAATATTAATGAGACGGTAGGTTTGTGCGTCACACTGCAGAGCAGGGGTTATAATTATGACACTTTATGAAATTCTGTGGTTTGTATTGCGTTCATTGTATGTACCAGCGTTTATAAAAATCTTCTCTGTGACAAATATCACTGATTCTTTTTAATAGGAGAGCTGTTAGAAACAGCCTAAATTTCTGCGAACTGATTCTTACTGTATATTAAGGAAACATAAGGGAGATGATTGCTTGATCTCTTTTCTTTCCCTCCTTCCTAGAAAGGTGACAGGGTTTTTACCATTGGTACGGTCTCTGGAGGATACGCAGATTATGCAGTTGCTGCAGCTAATAGAGTCTTCCCTTTGTCGGATGCATTGGACTTCAGGCAGGGAGCAGCGATTGGAATACCCTACTTCACTGCTTACCGTGCTCTTTTCCAAAAGTAAGGGGACAAATCTAAGTTTGTGCGTTTTACTTTGAATATTTAAGATAACTGAAGTTCATGTTTTCATTGTCCTGTAAAATGGGGGCAGATCAATGAGTGGGAAATGTTTAAAACACTGAAGTTAAATTTGTTACGCTGATGGAATTGTCAGGTAATCGTTACCTAGAAGCTCGTGACGGTATTTTCTTGTTAAGTGTTTCTTCTGAAGGGAACAGACCTGGAAAGGCTTCTTTGATAAGGATCGTCTAATAAAACGTGCAAGTCTCTTTCAGTACTTGTTGGTATCCTAGCTAGGGAATTAAAACAGGAATAGTCTAATTTCTTAATTAAATGGACAATGTGCCGTAGAGCAGACCCACCTCTTCTTCGTGAGCCTCTCTGCCGGAGGGACTGTGTGCAGTCTGTTGCCGTAGGGCAGTATAACGGGGAAAAGCCAGACTTCCCTGCCAGCTGGGTGAGAGCTTTGGACTGGAAACCTGGTTTAGTTTGACAGAACAACTGGTTAGAAGTAGTGTGGTTTATTTGAAGATCGGTAACAGGTGAAGAGCTTGAACTGGGGTTCAGTACCAGACTGTGACTTGCTGCTAGTTGCATGTTGATGTAATTGCATATCACTTAAACTCATGAATGATATGGTTTATTGTGCCTCCTTGTTTTCCCAAAGAGGCTGATTTACCTGTTTAGCCATAACACAAATTGCAAATACAGCTGGGTGAAAGGTCAGATCTGATGTCAGTATATGCAGTCCGAGACTTAACGATTAAGTACTGCAATCGTAACGCCAATGTTTTCTGGTTTTTTCCTTCAGAGGGCGTGCCAAAGCAGGGGAAAGTGTGCTAGTGCATGGTGCCAGTGGGGGGGTAAGTATTTCGAGAAGGCAAGTTATAAGAAATGCTGCTTTCTGTCCTCGTGCCTGCTTTTGTCTGTGATACGATTTTTACCTTTAAGATTTAAATTACTTATTATGGCTAAAATACCCCCATGTTACCAGGCCAGCTTTTTAAATGGTTAAGTTCCAAGTTGTTGGTAGAATATATAAAATATAAAATGCTAAGAAGGGGATAAAAGCAAGGGCGATAAAAAAAGACTTTTCTTTTTTCTTTTTTTTTTCCCCACCTTTTCTTTCTTCCCCCCACCCCCCTCCCTCAGGTGGGAATAGCAACATGTCAGATTGCCAGAGCGTGTGGTTTAAAGGTTTTGGGTACAGCAGGAACTGAGGAAGGCATGAACATAGTTCTGAGAAATGGTTGTCACCAAGCATTTAATCACAGAGAAGCTAATTACATTGATAAAATCAAGGTAAGCATGCAGCAGGCCTAGGTGATGCAGTATGTATTTTTTTGATGAACAAAATGTGAACAGTTGTTTGCGATTTTTAAAAGTAGATTTATTTAGGAGCAATAGTGCACTGCCTTTTTCATGTCTGTGCAAGGAAAAACCTTTTCCAGGCTGGAAAAGCTGAGCTCTCTTCACAGGCAGTGGCATTTAGAAACTCTTGCGTTTCAGCAAATCCCAATATAGGGATATCATAATTCAGCATATCAAAATATGCTGTCAGCCTTAGTACAAAGGCTGTATTTAAAATTTAAACAGCAAACTGTAAAATATGTGTTATCTGTAGCATATGAAATATGCAGCTGTACCCAAACAGTAACTGGAGTGCTTTCAACGATATATTATGTCGTGTATAGGAATATACAGGGATGGAAGGAGTTGATATCATCATAGAAATGCTCTCTAACATCAATCTTGCTACTGACTTGCAACTGTTGTCCTGTGCAGGAAGGGTGATGGTAAGTATTTTTTGTCACTGACTTGAGTTTGTGTGTTTAGCGACACAATTCAACAGTCAGAACTTAAACTGTCCTTTAACTCGGTTGTAACAGGTTGTGGGCTGCAGAGGTCCTATTGAGATAAACCCAAGAGACACTATGAATAAAGAATCCAGCATAATAGGAGTTAGTCTGTTTCTTGCAACTGAGGTAAGAAAAGAAACATTTTTATTTTAAAGCATGTTTTGTTGACTTACTCCAACAAATTCTCTCTTTCTGGCTAAAATCATTTGTAGGGATGAAAGCATCGTTTCACTGTAACTTGTTTGTTCATTCCTTTACATTTCGATTTAATCTCAGAACATCATAAAATACCTTTGGGTTGTGAAATTTGGTTTAGCACTCGTGTAAATAGTCAATACTTTTCTAAACTGTAAAGACCTTGTGGTAAATGCTGTCTTTATTACTCGCAGGAGGAGATGCATGAATGTGCGACAGCGATCCGTGATGGCATAGAGGCTGGCTGGCTGAAACCAGTTGTAGGCTCTGAATATCCCCTGGAGAAAGTAGTTCAGGCTCATGAAGACATTATTCATAGCAGTGGTGCTCGAGGAAAGATGGTGCTCCTTCTATAAAGTCTTTTTCCGTTTATTTTGCAGCTGTTCTAACTGAACCTTTGCTTACATGATTCACTGAGTGTATGTTATAAAAGGTACCTTTGATCAGGTCTGAGAGTAAGAGCAAATGCTAACTTACATTAAGTAATTGCATTAATTAACGATCTCTTTTTGTAATAAGCAGAATTGCATATATTTGAAAGTAATTTTTGTTGCTTTTTTGGCTGACACGGAAGTAATACATTTTCTCTGCTGGTGCGGCCTTGTGATGCAGGGGAGAATAATATCTAAGATAGAATTTGATATCATGCTCTACGTGCAGTTGTAGTGGGGCCACTGGGAAGCTGTAGGTGGTGCAAAACTGAAGCCTGTCTTTGTAAGACAGACATATGTAACTATATGCTTACAACGAGGGCTCTGTACATTCTTTAGCTGCAAAATTTGTCTCGTTCATCTTATGTCACATAATTTACTTGGAATCAAAGCTTTTACTACCAAAATAGTTCACTTTCCAGCTCGAAAGATGGCCAAAGAACCTCTCAAATATGACCTGTTCGGAAGCAGAGGCCGTTTCCTTTTGCTCTGCCCGAGTATCTGAGGTGAAAGTGTGGAAAAACAACAGAAATCGGGGGGAAGAGGAGACATTATCCCCCAAAATTCAGCTTACATCTTAACATAAGCTGTAATATTAGAGCAGCTCTGAGGCGAGATACAGTTGCTGCTCCCAGGAGCACGGCGCGGTTGGCATGGACAAGGCCTGCTCAGGTCGAGCAGAACGTACAGTATCCTTGGAAGGGGGAGCAGGGTGGTGCGGAGGTACCGCGGCTCGTCCCTGCTGTCAGGGATAGGGAGCGACTGGCGAAGGGAACCGCACAGCTGCTGTCAGGGAAGCTGGGTCTCAGCAACGATGGTGAGATCGTGTCCTGAAGCTGAACTCTGCTCATTATAATGTCACTATAATACCCAAACACACCTGCATCCCCAAACCTGCCCGCCTCCACGCTGCGACCACCGCTCACTGAGCATACGTCCTGAAAGGCTTCTAGTCTATACCTTTAAATCAAAGCGAGGAAAATTTACACCGATCCTGACAAAGGTATGTATGACTAGAGTCACTCAAGCTCCCCACCTGGAAGTCAGAAACAGTATAAAAATGGCCAAAGAGAAGGGGGTGTTGGGGGAAGCCCTCCATCAGAACGTCTGGGATCAGCTGACGGGCTGGACCTCTCTTCCCCCCCCCATAGGGACGCCTGTTGGGTGAGAGCTCCGTGTTACGTGCTCAGTTACTGACACCTTGCAGCTAGTTGGAATTATCACTGATCAGTTCTGCTTGTACCTCGTTCCAAACCCGTTTTCCCAGTCAGTCCCTATCACCGGCTGTCTTGGAATCTGTATCCTGTCACGAGCACATGCAATAAAATTTGTCAAACATAAATACCAGTTTCCATAAACTTCAACAACTGACACAGGGGATAGAAGGGATTTGGCCCAGTGCGCTGCCCGTGGGGTCCCTGAATGGGTCAGATGAACACCCTCCGACTCGGTGGGATTTGGCCCAGTGATGCTGTCAGTGTGAGCCCGACGGGCCGGTCACATTGTCAAGGGTTCAAGGTGACCCCCCTTCTCCTTAACTGGGGTGTGGCAGGTGGGTCGGGTACAAGGGTCTCGTCTGTCTTGGGAAACTGGTAGACTGGTCAAATTGAGAAGGGCTCGAGGTAGTCTCCCTCTCTGTCCTATCAGAGCGGAAAGAACCCACTGGATGGTTCCAGCTGACAGCAGGAGATCCGCCACCCAACTCACAGCTTTATTTCCGTTTTTTCCCCCATTGAATTTTTCAGCAAGTGAAATGAAAGAAAAAAAACCACCTCTAAACTGCTAAGTGAAATCTTCCCCATTTTTATTGTGTCAGGATTATGACATTAGTGACATGCACAGAAGATGTGACTCAGTAGAGCCAACGACATCTGTAGCTCACGTGTGTCGCGCTGGATGACGCCTCACTGCAGACCTTGGCTCAGAGATCGTAGCTGTAAGAACCCAACAACCTGGACAACATCCACAGAGCAGCACGCAGCAACTGTGAGCCCCGATTCGACAGCGCCAAGACGACAGCTATGTCTGCCAATAGGGTTACGGAATAACACAGCAGGATTGCTCACAGCTAAATTTTGCTAATTTGAAAAAGACCCCAGAAAATAACAGCATAATTAACTCTGTAATTACTTGTAGAAGAAGAGTTCAAGTTCTCTGCCCTACCTCCTTTTTGTGTGTGTGTGTTTGATCTGCAGTGATGAGAGCTGCTGTCGCAAAGCCCGGTCATAGCCCTTGTGCAGCTCAGCGCGTGCCAATGGTACCGTGCCACAGTTTTGCTTTGAGTCAAAAATGCAACTTTGCACTGCGTTAAGATTATCATATTTGTGACACACTTTTACATATTTTCTTTCTGGTTTAAAGTTTGTTTTGGAGTTTCTGTGTTGCTTTTTGTAAGCAAATGCCTGAGTGAAAGCTTACACTCTTTGGGAAAAACAGTAACTCAAACCAAAACAAGGAAGCGGGTAAGAAAGCACAAATGCCTGGAAGAGTACAACTGAGATGGCCACCCAAAGAACGCTTCACTCTCAGCCAGCAGGAAAGCATCCACAGACCAGGGCTCTGGAGAGCTGCAGCCAGGGACTGCTGTGCTGGGCAGCCTGGTGTGCCCATGGTGCTGACCATGAGACATGGGACCTATCTTGGACTGTGGAGAACTCAAAAAGAAACCAGATCCGGTTCAGAAGCTGGGAGCAGGAACAACTTTGCCTCCATGGTGGCCTGGATGGTGGTGGGGAGTGAGAGGCTGCAGCTCTTGATGAGGACTGGGCTGGCGGCTGCCCAGCGGCGGGGCTGATCCCCCCACACCTTCGTGTAGTCCAAGCTAAGAGCATCCTGCCTCAGAGCCCTGAAGCTATCACAGATGCATTTTTACTTTCATCTTGTCATATGGGTAATGCTCAAGGTGAAAGTGAAGCATTCTTGTGGACATTCACTTTGCTACAGAACAGAGGCACACCACCAAAGCCAGCCCTCATGCAGGGAAAGGTGCTGGAGCAGAACTTCTGACGGGGACATTCGCTGTCAACAGCTGGGGCTGTTCAGCGTAGGCATCCTCCGTGTAGGACGCGGTGCCTGGCAGCGGGGCTGACACGGGGACAACTGCCGCTGCCGGTTGACGGCGAGTGCCGCTGCCGGTGGCTGGGCCGTGCTGTCAGCTGCCCTCCTCGCAGCTGCCGCTGCTGCTGCAGGAATGAAACCTCATGGGACTCATGGGGTCGGACACGTAGCCTGCAAGGTGCAGAGAGAAGTTCAGGTGTGGCTTAACATGGCAGCGATTCTCCCCACCTTTCCCTGCGGTGACAATGTCAACAAAATAACGTGCCTATCGGTTTGAGATAAACAGGCACAGATCATGACGAGACCTTTGTGCTGGCTGCAAGTTTCTGTTCAGTATCATCTGCGGAGAAAAAATTTAAATAGGAAATAAACAGACCCTGTCATTCATGCAATGAATTCACAATAATCAGGCACAAAGCAGTTTTGGTAACTGACATAAACATGAATCTCGATGTTTTAACAACAGAGGAGAAGTTCGCCATTAAGAAAAATACCTTTTGCCGTTTCGATGAGACTTAAGAGATCTCAAAATGAACATTCTGGTAAGGGTTTTAAAATTATTTTAATCCTTGACACAACAAAACCGAAAGCAACTGCTCTTGCCAGTGCCGTAGTTCCCATGAGCTGCTCCAACAATGCCAAAGAAACCGTTTCTCCCTTTCCACGGTGTCACTGATCAGCTGCTCCCGCTCTTCTGATTTTGCTGCATGAACATTAAAAATCCAGTGGGGCCAACTCAAACATCTCGAGAATTAGGCACTGTATGGAGATACTCAGATGCTCAGGAAACAAGAGAGCAGAGAAACGAGAACACGAAAACTTTCTGGGGCACAGGGTGGGTGGGAGAAGGGCTGGAAAACATCGCTAAGGCTCCTGCCTGCCAAGTTCCTATTGCCAAATGTAGATGACACACAGCTGCATAAAATTAAGACTCTGGTAATCACACAGTACTGACACAGCACCCCTACACCGTAGTCCTCCAGCAACCTGGTTTATCTCCTGATCAGGACATGCTATGCTGTGGAAGCTGTCAGCACACCGTTCCTTATGGGACTCTCACTCCTATCCCAAATCCACTGGGCCTCACGTGCTGGAAGTGCCCCCAGTGCCAGGAGGTGACGGCAGTGGGTGCCGTCGCTGAAGCCAAAGCCGTGGAGCGTGGCTGTGCTCGTGCAGTGACGGACTGCGATAGGGACCGTTACGGGAGCAGGACGTGCATTTGGGGACCTCTCTGGCCACGGTGACAATACTCTGTGCCGTGCTGTGGCACACAGATCGTGCTAGGTGGGAGACCGTGTGCTCCACCATCACTTCCCTTTGCTGTACTGCTGCCGTGCCGCGGGGAATCTCTGCTTCAACAGATGCGTTCGTGTTTCCCAGCCCCTCCATACACTGTTTTCTTCTTTTGCCTGTAGTGCCTGTGAGTGTCACACCAGCCAGGACTGCCTTGCTCCTGGGGTCCCCTCCTGCCTGCCAGGGCCGCAGCTCTTCTCAGACAGACGGTCTTGCTCACCAGCCTGGGCTGCAACTCCAAGGATGTCAGTGCATCTCCCACAGCCAGGAGGGAACGGCCTGCCTTTTGTAGGCAGGGTCTCAACCTT